ATAAGTACCCAAAATAAATAAGTTGTGTGCACCTAGCTATAGGAAATACTGTGTACTTGGCTGCAGGAGAGGATCTGGGGAAAGCCTGGGAGAAAAACCAAGGGCTCCTATGAGGGTAATGCTACATTACCTTTACAACCACTTTAAGTGGCAAACTGATGGGCACTTCATTTTGCAGTTTTAAACAGCAATGCAAAAATCACTCTCAGCAGCTGTTAATGGCCATGAACTAAGCCATTCTTGATTATGAGTAGCTTCGTAGCAAGCAATCTGTCTCCTCTATTCCCAAACAGCAGTAGGTATGTTGGTACATGTAGTTACATGGCTTTAACTTGCAAGGTTCTGCTGTTACTTGTTATCCCATAAGACTTGTGCTCAAGAATAATTAAAACATGCTGTGGATTTAATTATCTAAACACCCATCCCAGTCAGGCCATCTCACTCTATGAAGCTTGACTCATTCCATCAGGCTTTACCTAAACAACAGCTAATTTTCCTAGCACCTAACCCCCAGTGATTTCCAAGACATGCTACTCACTCTTTGTCCACCTGTGTGTCCGTGTACACCTCTTCTGTGTTTTTATGCATACCTACCACCTTGGGTTGGGCTGGGCTGTGAGAGGACATGAATAGTCTGCTTGGAGCAGGAATGTTCTTCCCCAGGAGGAGAGATTGCCAACCAGAAGGGCTGCTGCTCTTCCTGGCAGTCCAGCTGAAGATTCTGCTAGTCTCATGAGATCCCAGCTGTGCATAGCTGGAGTACCTATTCTGCTGCAAAATCTTCAGGAACTAAAAGAGTGGTTCCATTGAGGATATGGTCTGGAGGTTTTACTGGAGAGACTGCCTGAGTCTGAAGAGAGACATTCAAGTCCATTGACACTGTGAGTGCAGCCCTGATAGAAGGATCCTAGAAACTGTTGCTGCTGTTTACCCCTGGTGGACTAATATTAAAGCTTGTCTTCAGGACCATGGATAAGGGGGTACCACCAGTCCTCCTGTATGGGACCCAGGCAGTAAGCAGGGAGGATGATGGGTGTGGCGTGAGGGGGTAATTACTGGAACTGACTCCCTATGTCCCTGTATGTCTGCAACAGCTGAATGCCAGCAGCAGGGAAAGGAGAAGAAGCCAGCTTTCAGCTGCTGCACCTATCACCCTGCCTGTGCACCATATGCTTCCCCCTGCTGCTCAGGCCTCCCTGTGTGCCACCAGCTCCACAGTACTGCCAGCTTCCCACCAGCAGCTGCAAGCACACAATAGGATCCTTCAGGATGGAGAGTAGAGGAAGGGTCCAGTAAATATGTCATGTTTACCAGCCCCTTCGTTGCCTGAATGAACACAATGAGTGACTGCTACCAATCACTCAATGTGTTCATTCATAAGTGAAGAATAATAAACTGTGGGGGGAGGGCCCTCTCAGATTGGCTGTATGTCACCCATGGTTTCTAACAGCAGCCCTGCTTGTCTTGCCTGAGACATTACTGATGGTTTCCCAGTGCTGTCCACTTTATGTCTTACTGCTCAAGGGGCTGCTCTGAGAAGTAGCAGCAAAGGGAAGAGTGTCCTAACATTCTTGTTCAGTGTTTTGGAGTATCCCACAGCTTCCCTAAGCCCCATGCAAGTTAATTTGCAATAAACTTTAAAAAGACAATTCCTAGACTTTTTACTGAGCCAAAGGAGTGAATGCTGTTTTTGCCTGGCTGCCACTACACTAGTGGGAAAAGAACGTGGGACACAAATCAAGTGCTGCGTCCACCTTCAGGAGGACTGGTTGGTCATTGGACTCTGCTCCTTGGCCCTTCCCTCACCTTTGCTTTACATGAGGGCTTGCTGTGTTCTCCCCAGACAGTACCAATAAGTGGCCTCACTGTCCTAGACTCTTCGTGTACCTCAACTATCTATCCTGTGCTCCTACATTCCTTGGGACCTCTGTGTATCTTAGTGTTTCTCATACATATTCTTACTGCCATGTTCCTGTAAGCTCAGCATCCCACTGCTGCTAAGATACTCTTGTACTCCTGCCTGCCTGGAAGACCAGAACCCCAGTGTTGCACCATGCTCCTGCCATTCCAGTGAGTCCTGTATTCCCACCTTTCCAAGATCCTTGTCTCTGTGCTTCCCTGTACCAGGTCAGATGTAGCCTGCAAGGGTGTGCTCACACCACCATCCAGTATGCAGGTTGCACGGAGGATCCACTATCTCAACCATATTGGACAGTCCCTTTCATGACATGATTACTGTGATGACCAATCACATTGATCTAAACAGTGTAATGTTTACATTGGTAGTCCTGCCCTTCATCTTACAAGCCCAGTCTTTCCTCTTATCTCAATATCAGCATGTTTCTTCAAGTACAAAAACTGTGGCAAAAAAAAAAAAAGATTACCTTGGGGTGTCTACTTTGTAAAGGTGGGTATTTGTAGGGGTTTTTTTTTATGTTGTGGGCATTTTTAATTTGTGATTTTGTTAACAAAGTAAGGAGGATATTTTTTCAGTCTTTCCCCGTTATTCAATAAAAACCCTGGTGGCTATTAAATAACATTAAGGGCCGGTTCACACCTGATTCCCATGTGTCATGGAAATTTTGTATTGTTGGTTGAACTTTAAATGTGTCATATATGAGTGTTATTCATATGTCTCTCGTGTGGCTTAATTAAAGCTCTGAAGGCTGCAATTGGGCCATGCGCATCTACAATGTATGTATTACAGTACTCAGCTCGGTAATGGATGAGATGGCAGATCTGCGCTTATAGACCGGCGTGTATACCACCATGGCATTCGATGCGAATGCCGCCGGCGGTAGGCCGCGGGCCTGTATCCACATATCAGCAGCATAGTACCACATGGACTTCATAACGCAAGGCGCCAAGCGGTGTGAACTCCGCGTGTAGGCTTATGCATATCTTACAAACCATTACCGACCTGAAACTGTATCTGGATGGATGTGTTTTAATAAAGATCGTATCGGGCCCATCCAGGTACAGACTGATGTTTCTAGGGGATGCTTGTACAGAAAAGTTACATACCAATAGGAGCTACTAGGACAGGAAGTATGCTCTCCATAGAGGGCTCATGGGGGGAAGGGGAGGAAGTCTGCTGACCTCAGAGGGCTCATGGGGGAGGACCAGTGACAGATAATAGGAAAGGCTATGCTCCAATCGGAATGTACATCCTGTGTATAGGCACTCCCCATTGCATTGTTCTGTGGGAGGGGATTGACCTTATTCATGTGGGGGTGCGTGTGTGTGTTTGTAATAAAACCAGAGGCTGAGAAAAAAAAACTTCCTCTATGTGAATTCCAACAGCAACCTGAAAGTGTCGTGTGATCATTTCCAGGTATAGGGAGCTCCATTCCCCACATCTCAACAGAGCTAAATCAGTTGGAAGGGCAGGAATCGTGTAGTTTAGCTGCAGTCGTGGTAAGCGAGATTCGCACAGCTTCATGGGGGATTTCTGCGCATCCAACTGCGAGTACTCACGGTAAGGAGAAATTCATTAAAGCGAATTTCCAAGACACATGCAACTCAGTGCAGTGCGATTTTCAGTCATTACGTGTATGCACCACATTTAGAAAACACGGTGCAACAAAGTGCACAGCACCGAAGTACCATATGATCTGGTGCAGGCAACCATGTTTGTGATCTGCATTTGGGGTGTTGTTAGGATCATATTGAGACCCCTTAGCAGATTGCACACACAGTTCAGGAAACACACACGTAACGTTCCATTGTGAACTGGAGTGCCCTGAGGAAAAGCTCTGTCTCAAAAACTACATTAACTCTAAGAGCTGTGGGCTCTTGCTGCTACCCTATACATGGTGTGTCCCACCGTTGGGTGTTATCCCTCCCACCACCCATTATGTTACTACTATGTCCCGTAATAACAAACAATTGCATTTTGTTCCAGTGTTTTTACTTGGTGATAGTGTCACTTTAAAGTGACTGGCTGGGGACAGAGAGCTCTGAGCTTCTCCCCACCAAATGCAAATGAACGTCCATTACTATTGATGCTTGTTCATTAGTAACTATCCTGTTTATACTTTACAGTACACAATGTTTGCTCATAATAAGTCACATATAAATAGGTCTGACTGAGTGTGTATTGTGTTCTAAAATCTTGCAAGTTTAAGATGTATTAGTTAATCACTAAAAGGTATCAGGTTGACCCTATTTATCCTTACCTATGTATTTGTGCCAGAATGGAATAGTAAAATACTATGTCTTGCTTAAGAAAAGCCATCCATTACTATGAAATGCCAAGCTTTAACACTGAAAAATGTCAAACATGATGAATATTGCCAATATTTGCGATCTTAATCTGTTTTCAGCATCAGATGACATACTTTGAAAATGTTCTAGACAGCGGAATTTGGGTTATCCACAACCTGTGGTGTGTAGACACAGACTATTGCAGAGATCAGATAGAAGTAAACTAGAGCAATAGGAAGTGTAGATAGAACAGCCTTTGGAACGTATGTTTCATTCCAGATTTGCTGCTGTGAATAAAATGAATTCCCTGAACATACTAAGAAGCAAACTTACGTCTCTCTGGCACGGTTGACAAAGGGACTCTGTTTCTCTATCCCAGAGCTATCATGCAGCTACCGAAATGGTGAGGCCTTAGAGAGTGCTATGTTATTTAAAAAGAGATCACAGTAAGGAAGAAAAATAATAATTGGAGTATAAGGCCTCATGCACACTGAGTAGAGATGAGCGAAGTATTCAAAAATTCGATTCGACTGATTCGGCGAATTCGTAGAAAAAATTTCGATTCGAGTCGAATATATTCGCTGTGAATTTAACTTAAAAAAGGGTGTTTCTAGGCTTCAGAGAGACTTAATATTAGTGCTGGAGAAATAATACTGTCAGGCAGTATGACATGCAGATGAGTGCCGTCGATCTTAGAATCACCGCACACTTCACTCATTTGGGCAGTCACGGGGCCAAAACCAGAGTGTGGAGCCACAGTGTGGCGGTGGAGGCAGCAGCAATGGGAGGCCATACAGCACCCTATGACAAAAATGGAAACCACCAGCAGTGTGAGGAGACCTGAAAGTGGCACATGGCAGAGTGTGGCGATAGAGACAGCAGCAATGGGAGGCCGTACAGGGACCCATGACACACTCTGGACCTGGCAGCAGCATGAGGAGGCGGTACAGGGGCCCATGGCAGATTACGGGCCTGGCAGCAGCATGAGGAGTCGGTACGGGGGCCCATGGCAGATTACAGGCCTGGCAGCAGCAATGGGAGGCCGTACAGGGACCCATGACACAATCTGGACCTGGCAGCAGCATGGGGGGAGGCGGTACAGGGGCCCATGACAGATTACGGGCCTGGCAGCAGCATTTGGAGTCGGTACGGGGGCCCATGACACACTCTGGACCTGGCAGCAGCATGAGGAGGCGGTACAGGGGCGCATGACAGATTACGAGCCTGGCAGCAGCAACTTGGACAGGAGGACGTTCAGTTTCTGCTGCACCGTCTGGTGCGTGCTCGCAAACTGTTGTCTCTTGGAAACGGATTCCAAGAAAGACTGCTGACGGAATCCGTGAAGAGGAGTAGCAGGAGAAGGAGCATCTGAACGAGCGGAATATGCCAACAAGCGACAACAGGGGCCCATACGGGGGCATGGCAGATTAGGGGCCTGGCAGCAGCTATGGGAGGCCCGTAATCTGCCAGCACCCTATGACAAAAAATGGAACCCACCAGCAGTGTGAGGAGACCTGAAAGTGGCACATGGCAGAGTGTGGCGATGGAGACAGCAGCAATGGGAGGCCGTACAGGGACCCATGACACACTCTGGACCTGGCAGCAGCATGAGGAGGCGGTATATAGGGGCCTATGGCAGATTAGGGGCCTGGCAGCAGCTATGGGAGGCCCGTAATCTGCCAGCACCCTATGTCAAAAAATTCTACACACCAGCAGTGTGTGAGACCTGAAAGTGGCACATGGCAGAGAGTGTGGCGATGGAGACAGCAGCAATGGGAGGCCGTACAGGGACCCATGAGAGACTCTGGACTTGGCAGCAGCATGAGGAGGCGGTATAGGGGCCCATGGCAGATTAGGGGCCTGGCAGCAGCTATGGGAGGCCCGTAATCTGCCAGCACCCTATGACAAAAAATGGAACACACCAGCAGTGTGAGGAGACCTGAAAGTGGCACATGTTTGGGGCATGATTCATGGCGGATTTAGTCAGTTGTGTCAGGAACTGGTGGTTTGAAATCCAGACTAATCCACGCCTGATTCATTTTCACAAACGTCAGTCTCTCCACACTTTGGGTGGACAGTCGTGTCCTCCGCGGAGTTGCAATACCTCCTGCCGCACTAAACACGCGCTCCGATGCCACGCTACTGGCCGGGCATGACAGCCTTTCAAGGGCAAATTCAGCTAGTTGGGGCCAAAGGTCAAGTTTCGTTGCCCAGTAGTCAAGGGGATTGTCTACCTCGGTTGGCAGGGTGCTGTCCAAGTAGGCCTAAGCCTGTTGTTTGAGGTCCTGCTCCAGGTCCACCTGATGCTGCTGCTGCTGCTGCTGCTGCTGCTGCGGCTGGTTAGTAGTTTCCTCACTGCGCTGGTGAAGAAAGCTACTCATCATCGACTGCAGACTGAGGCAGCCGCTGCTGGTGGAGCTGCCACTGCTCCTACCACCCCACCCCTCCCCTGCTGCCATGGCAGCGGAACGCGAGCGCACAGGGCCCACAGTGTCTGAGGATGGACGTTGGCGCAGACAGGCAGAGACCAGCTGACTACATAGGTGGTTTTTATAGTACGTTATTTTGGCCTCCCTCTCAGCAGGTGTGAAAAAGGCCACCATTTTTGAACGGTAGCGAGGGTCCAACAAGGTGGACAGCCAAAAGTCATCCCTCTGTCTGATGGTTATTATTCGGCTGTCGCTACGCAAGCAAGCGAGCATGCTATGGGCCATTTGTGCCAAGGAATGCGAGGGACTCCCTGCCTCCATCTCCACAGCATACTGCCACGGTGCGTCTGGGTCCTCTGTCTCCTCCTCCTCTCCTCCTCCTCTACCAGATGCTCCTGCTCCTCCACTCCTGTCCGCTGAGTGGAAAAACCACCCATTTCACTCAATAATTCCTGAGCACCAATGTCCTCCTCTACCTCCTCCTCTTCTTCCTGTCCTGCCCCCACAGGGGTCATGTGGCGTTGAGATCTCTGTGCGCCACGTCTACCGCACCCTGACCAGCCATTGTTAACAGCATTTGTTCCAGGACGTGCAACAGAGGAATGACGTCGTTCATCATCCATAGTCCTGCCGACTCACGAATAGCGTGGCCTCCTCAAAGGGCCTGAGCAAGCGCAGGTGTCACGCATGAGCTGCCAATGGCTGACATCTAAGTTACACAGGGAGTACCTTTATCCGCTTTTAACATCAGGAAATCTGTGATGGCCTTTTGCTGTTCGTAAAGGCGGTCTAACATATGTAGGGTTGAATTCCACCTTGTTGCAACGTCACAGCATGAGGAGTCGGTATAGGGGCCCATGGCAGATTAGGGGCCTGGCAGCAGCTATGGGAGGCCCGTAATCTGCCAGCACCCTATGTCAAAAAATTCTACACACACCAGTGTGTGAGGAGACCTGAAAGTGGCACATGGCAGAGTGTGGCGATGGAGACAGCAGCAATGGGAGGCCGTACAGGGACCCCATGACAGACTCTGGACCTGGCAGCAGCATGAGGAGGCGGTATATAGGGGCCCTATGGCAGATTAGGGGCCTGGCAGCAGCTATGGGAGGCCCGTAATCTGCCAGCACCCTATGTCAAAAAAATTCTACACACCAGCAGTGTGTGAGGAGACCTGAAAGTGGCACATGGCAGAGTGTGGCGATGGAGACAGCAGCAATGGGAGGCCGTACAGGGACCCATGACAGACTCTGGACCTGGCAGCAGCATGAGGAGGCGGTATATAGGGGCCTATGGCAGATTAGGGGCCTGGCAGCAGCTATGGGAGGCCCGTAATCTGCCAGCACCCTATGTCAAAAAATTCTACACACCAGCAGTGTGTGAGGAGACCTGAAAGTGGCACATGGCAGAGTGTGGCGATGGAGACAGCAGCAATGGGAGGCCGTACAGGGACCCATGACAGACTCTGGACCTGGCAGCAGCATGAGGAGGCGGTATATAGGGGCCTATGGCAGATTAGGGGCCTGGCAGCAGCTATGGGAGGCCCGTAATCTGCCAGCACCCTATGTCAAAAAATTCTACACACCAGCAGTGTGTGAGGAGACCTGAAAGTGGCACATGGCAGAGTGTGGCGATGGAGACAGCAGCAATGGGAGGCCGTACAGGGACCCATGACATCTGGACCTGGCAGCAGCATGAGGAGGCGGGTATATAGGGGCCCTATGGCAGATTAGGGGCCTGGCAGCAGCTATGGGAGGCCCGTAATCTGCCAGCACCCTATGTCAAAAAATTCTACACACCAGCAGTGTGTGAGGAGACCTGAAAGTGGCACATGGCAGAGTGTGGCGATGGAGACAGCAGCAATGGGAGGCCGTACAGGGACCCATGACAGACTCTGGACCTGGCAGCAGCATGAGGAGGCGGTATATAGGGGCCTATGGCAGATTAGGGGCCTGGCAGCAGCTATGGGAGGCCCGTAATCTGCCAGCACCCTATGTCAAAAAAATTCTACACACCAGCAGTGTGTGAGGAGACCTGAAAGTGGCACATGGCAGAGTGTGGCGATGGAGACAGCAGCAATGGGAGGCCGTACAGGGACCCATGACAGACTCTGGACCTGGCAGCAGCATGAGGAGGCGGTATATAGGGGCCTATGGCAGATTAGGGGCCTGGCAGCAGCTATGGGAGGCCCGTAATCTGCCAGCACCCTATGTCAAAAAAAATTCTACACACCAGCAGTGTGAGGAGACCTGAAAGTGGCACATGGCAGAGTGTGGCGATGGAGACAGCAGCAATGGGAGGCCGTACAGGGACCCATGACAGACTCTGGACCTGGCAGCAGCATGAGGAGGCGGTATATAGGGGCCTATGGCAGATTAGGGGCCTGGCAGCAGCTATGGGAGGCCCGTAATCTGCCAGCACCCTATGTCAAAAAATTCAACACACCAGTGTGTGAGGAGACCTGAAAGTGGCACATGGCAGAGTGTGGCGATGGAGACAGCAGCAATGGGAGGCCGTACAGGGACCCATGACAGACTCTGGACCTGGCAGCAGCATGAGAGAGGCGGTATATAGGGGCCTATGGCAGATTAGGGGCCTGGCAGCAGCTATGGGAGGCCCGTAATCTGCCAGCACCCTATGTCAAAAAATTCTACACACCAGCAGTGTGTGAGGAGACCTGAAAGTGGCACATGGCAGAGTGTGGCGATGGAGACAGCAGCAATGGGAGGCCGTACAGGGACCCATGACAGACTCTGGACCTGGCAGCAGCATGAGGAGGCGGTATATAGGGGCCTATGGCAGATTAGGGGCCTGGCAGCAGCTATGGGAGGCCCGTAATCTGCCAGCACCCTATGTCAAAAAATTCTACACACCAGCAGTGTGTGAGGAGACCTGAAAGTGGCACATGGGCAGAGTGTGGCGATGGAGACAGCAGCAATGGGAGGCCGTACAGGGACCCATGACAGACTCTGGACCTGGCAGCAGCATGAGGAGGCGGTATATAGGGGCCCATGGCAGATTAGGGGCCTGGCAGCAGCTATGGGAGGCCCGTAATCTGCCAGCACCCTATGTCAAAAAATTCTACACACCAGCAGTGTGTGAGGAGACCTGAAAGTGGCACATGGCAGAGTGTGGCGATGGAGACAGCAGCAATGGGAGGCCGTACAGGGACCCATGACAGACTCTGGACCTGGCAGCAGCATGAGGAGGCGGTATATAGGGGCCTATGGCAGATTAGGGGCCTGGCAGCAGCTATGGGAGGCCCGTAATCTGCCAGCACCCTATGTCAAAAAATTCTACACACCAGCAGTGTGTGAGGAGACCTGAAAGTGGCACATGGCAGAGTGTGTGGCGATGGAGACAGCAGCAATGGGAGGCCGCCGTACAGGGACCCATGACAGACTCTGGACCTGGCAGCAGCATGAGGAGGCGGTATATAGGGGCCTATGGCAGATTAGGGGCCTGGCAGCAGCTATGGGAGGCCCGTAATCTGCCAGCACCCTATGTCAAAAAATTCTACACACCAGCAGTGTGTGAGGAGACCTGAAAGTGGCACATGGCAGAGTGTGGCGATGGAGACAGCAGCAATGGGAGGCCGTACAGGGACCCATGACAGACTCTGGACCTGGCAGCAGCATGAGGAGGCGGTATATAGGGGCCTATGGCAGATTAGGGGCCTGGCAGCAGCTATGGGAGGCCCGTAATCTGCCAGCAGCACCCTATGTCAAAAAATTCTACACACCAGCAGTGTGTGAGGAGACCTGAAAGTGGCACATGGCAGAGTGTGGCGATGGAGACAGCAGCAATGGGAGGCCGTACAGGGACCCATGACAGACTCTGGACCTGGCAGCAGCATGAGGAGGCGGTATATAGGGGCCTATGGCAGATTAGGGGCCTGGCAGCAGCTATGGGAGCCCGTAATCTGCCAGCACCCTATGTCAAAAAAATTCTACACACCAGCAGTGTGTGAGGAGACCTGAAAGTGGCACATGGCAGAGTGTGGCGATGGAGACAGCAGCAATGGGAGGCCGTACAGGGACCCATGACAGACTCTGGACCTGGCAGCAGCATGAGGAGGCGGTATATAGGGGCCTATGGCAGATTAGGGGCCTGGCAGCAGCTATGGGAGGCCCGTAATCTGCCAGCACCCTATGTCAAAAAATTCTACACACCAGCAGTGTGTGAGGAGACCTGAAAGTGGCACATGGCAGAGTGTGGCGATGGAGACAGCAGCAATGGGAGGCCGTACAGGGACCCATGACAGACTCTGGACCTGGCAGCAGCATGAGGAGGCGGTATATAGGGGGCCTATGGCAGATTAGGGGCCTGGCAGCAGCTATGGGAGGCCCGTAATCTGCCAGCACCCTATGTCAAAAAATTCTACACACCAGCAGTGTGTGAGGAGACCTGAAAGTGGCAC